GCTTATAGTATCGCAGTATATTGGGATATATCGTATCGTGATCCCTCTGTTATGATATGTATCTTATTACCAAATTCTTGCCAATACACAACCCTAAAAGTAGCAGAGAAGGAATAAAATCACATTGAAGAGGCCCAGGTCACCAAATTACATCATCAAATCAACTCGATGTGTCTTAGAAATTCATAACATGAACAAATTTTAAAAACCACGTGGACATTTATTTTGTAAACAAAGCTCCTCAACCAGTGACGGCGTTCAAAAAATGTCAAATACAAAGACGAGAGTCAACACACGTGAACTCATTTTTATTATGGGCAGTCCCGTAGAGGAAAAAACACTATTTCAAACTTTATTCATTTCTTAAAAAAACACAAAAGTAATTCTATGTACAATAAAAAAAAGAAAGTACAAATGAAATGAAAGATGGCAGAGAGAAGAAAAAATCTTGGTATATCTGCTTATTTTTCCTCAAGTATAAATTCAAACAATAATCTTCAGAAAACAAAACAAAAACATCAAATCTTTCTAGAACAACAAATTATATGGATACAGATTATATTGTTTCATATATATATTTTTTAACAATCTAGCCTTTATCATTCATACATACTCGTTTACATACGTAGACATTTCCGATGATTATAAAATCTCGAACAGCGGAAGATAAAAAAAATGTTTTTCACGTAAACTTACCTGTTTAAAGGATCACTAAAAGAATCGGGTGATTTATTTGTTTTGAATTTGTTGTCAGCGGGGTTTCTCAGAAGTCATTGAAATAACATAAACAGGAGCTATGATTAGCGAGGCCACCCTCGGGCGTTACTRCACAGTCCGGTCACAGCTGTGTGTCCGCGACGTCGTGCAACGTCTTTTTTTTTTTTTTTTTACAGAAAGGTGTTTTCCCTTCTCGTGTCTCAGGTGTGGGCGCTGGGCGATTGCCAGACCGGGTGAAGTGTAGAACTGCCAGGGACCTCCGCTGAGCACAAACCGACCACCACCTGGGGCTGCTGAGCAGGACTGCTGTGCAGGTAAAGATTTACCCCCAAATTAAAAACATTTAATGCTTTCTAATGTTGGTGCAGCGTTTTCCTGGAGTTTGTAGAGAAGTTTAAACAAAGTTTATTTATTTATTTATAAAGTTTATTCATTTAAAACAGCATAAATTCAAGATACAATAAAAATACAAATCATAAATGAAAGTTAGCAGAAGAAGAAAAAAAATCAACAAGTTAATTTACTATAAAAGTTACTATAAAACGCCCTGTTTTTGTTTATGTCCAAATTATTCTGCTTGTCTGTGAACAGAGTACAGATATTTATTTCTAGCTGCATTTTAAGTCGTGGGATGATTTTACATGGTTATCTGTTAGTGCGGAGCAGACACAAATAAGAATGTGTACGTTTTGAATCGTGAATTTCTGGTTTTCTTAATTTTCAGGTGTTCTTTAGAAGCAGGAATGTTTTGGACTGAAGGGCAAATCTGTTTTGTTTTGTTTTTTGAATCAAAAATCAAATCATGCTGAAAATGATATAAAAGTAACTAATAGTTCCTGCTTAAAGTAATTTTTCTTCAGCATTGCTACAGAAAATGTAAAGGTGATCGTTTTAATCTGAGGAAAAAGAATAAAAACACATTATCCTCTCTGTTAGGGTGCTTCTAGATCAGCTAATTCACTCAGGGAGCTTTTTAATTTCAAAAATGACTTTGGTCATTATATTTCTCTGTCATTATCTTCTTGGCCTCTTGAGTGATCACGTGAGACAGGAAGGAAATGAGAAGGAAGAAAAACGGAGAGTTGGAGGACAAACTTTATGTGAGTGATGTTGAAGAGCGAGCTCAGTCAGGCCGGCTACACGCAGGAAGGAAACAAGACAGAAGCTGGTTTTGAGGATGGCTTCCTCCTGATTTTTAGGTTCACGCGGCCGTCGGCAGGGTGGAGTTCACTGACCCATGGAGAATTACTTCCAGGCCGAGGCCTTCAACCTGGACAAGGTGCTGGATGAGTTTGAGCAGAACGAAGGTGAGCTTTGACAAAAACAAACAAGGTGTGGRCTGTGATGGAGCCACCTCTGTGGGAAAACAACCAGCGTTGCGCAATCAGGCCTCCACCCTTCTAGTCTGAGTAACTTAACAGAAGGTCATTAGGAAGCAAGCAGAGAGGAAATGAGGTTAATTTGATGGKTTTTTTTTATTTTTGCTGCTTGTGGTCTTTTATAACTATTCTCGACAAAAGGGTCGTCTTTGTTTTGTTGAAACATTAAATATTAGATCAATCTTCAGCATGTTGGACAAAATTTTCATACGTCGACATAAGTTGTTGAAAACCTGCCTATGGTGAAAACTGGTCAGTTTGTCAGCTGATCGATCGGTCGGTCAACCTCAGAATACAACAGTAAGTTGGAAACTGTGTTTGGTTCTGTTTAAGAAAGCTGTTTTGCAGCATTTCTTTAAAGTACTTGCAAAGTAAAACACTGCAGCACTGAACTGTGCAAACTGCAGACTTGGGTTGCTTATTGTTGAGGGGGAAAAAAAACTGCTCTTTTCTGGAATAATGTAAGATGAGCCCAGAAAACAAGCCAGTTCTGCTGATTCTTTCCCTGTCTCTCTTTCTCTCTCTCTCTTTAGACACACAGGTACCTTTAGCTCAGTGTGTATTTTGGCTGAGGGTGATTATCCAAGTCCTCAGCCAGAGATCCAGCTTGGCAGATTAACTGTGTGTGTGTGTAAGCGTGTGTGTGTGTTTGTGTGTATGCCACATACTAAAAGCTTAGTGTCAGATAGAGTGGAGGAAGGAGAACCGTGTGTCAGAACTGGTGTGGTTCAGAATATACATATTATATTTTCCTGTCTTGTACAGCATTTACGTGTCGACTTGTCTTTCTAACTTCTGGGGTCTCATGAGCCGTTTGACCTATATTCAATATTTTTTTAAGTTCATTGACACTAATTACCAACTCTAAACCAACCTCATTTCTCAATTTATCCCCTGGTTTGTTCGAGCCATTTTTAGCTCTGATCACCAGGAGAGTTTCTTTGTATTTCAGAATATTTATACTGTTTTTTTTCCCCACACTGCAAAAACTGTCCACCTAACCAAGTTTTAAAATCTTATATCAGCCAAAAAGTCTTTTTGATCTTGTTTTGAGACTGATTTACTAAACAAGAACTGATTGTGTAAGAGTAATCATCTTGTTTTCAGAATGTGTAAGATTATTTGTGTTGTTAACCTGAAAATTTGACTCAAATTAAGTCAAAAATTTCTGCCAGTTGAGTAAGAAAATTTTACTTGGTAAGATTTCTTGAAATACTTGATTTGACTCAATTTTTTCTTATTTCAAGAATCTTACCAAGTAACATTTTCTTACTCCACTGGCAGAAAATTTTGACTTAATTTGAGTCAAATTTTCAGGCCAACAAGACAAATAATCTTACACATTCTGAAAACAAGATGATTATTCTTACACAATCAGTTCTTGTTTAGTAAATCAGTCTCAAAAACAAGATCAAAAAGACTTTTTGGCTGATATAAGATTTTAAAACTTGGTTAGGTGGACATTTTTTGCAGTGCAGAGATGGTAAAATGATAAACCTCAGCTGGTTACTTTGTAATAATTGTTGCATGAAAGTTTTTCTGGCAGTTGATTCTTCTCTCTCTCTGGTTGTAGCAGATGAGACAGACACGTCGATTCTCTCAGATGCCAAGTGGACTCAGATCCTAGCCCCGCCGCCCCACATGCTCTCTCTGAACCCCGCTCTGACCCACGCAGACCTCAGCCCCCGRGAGAGTCCGCTTCCCTTCAAGACCCTCCCGGACTCCTCGTCCGGCTCTGCTTTGGGAGACGACGCTAAAAGACAGCCGGGGCCCGAGCCTCCGTCCTGGGCGGAGGAGAGGCCGGCGGACGTCTACAGCCCGCCTCTCCCTCAGCCCAACATCGGCAAGCTGGTGGGCACGGACGACCTCTCGCCGCCCTGCGGTGCCGTGGAGAACGGCTGCCCCGGCAGCCCACAGCTGGATGGGCTCGGTAAAGACAGGAGTTCTACAGACACTCGGCCCGGTGCTTCTGAGCAGGAGGATAAACCTGGAGAGATGCCTGCCTCGGCCGGAGGGAGGGGCTCTCACTTCACCTTCGAGGTGGGGTTAGCACAGGAACAGGTTCCTGGGTGTGTCCATCCGGACGTGTCTCCTGTGACGCAAAACGGAGAACATGTTAAAGAGGAGAGCGGTTCAGATGTTTTACAGGACTTTAGTCAAGAAAGACAAACTGTAAGTTCACAAGAAGAGCAGGAGGAAAGCATAAACAGGAGTAAAGTTCAGCCTGAATGTGACATGGAGGAGAATGGTGTGTCTCCTCCTCCAGGCAGGGAGGAGGAGGAAAGAAGAGATTATCAAAATGGACAAAAAGATCAGCTCATCAGAATAAACGTCCTTTCTAACGGTTTGGAGATAGAAAACGGGAGCAGCTTCACGTTGAAGGAAACTGAGGAGAGGGACGAGGAGGACTTTTCTCCCTCCCCTGTTCCGTCCAAGGAGGACTCTGTGACCGAGGAGAAGGAGATGGAGGAGAGCAAGCAAGAGACGAGTGAGGGCGGAGCGGCGTCAGGTAGCATCCAACCAAAAATGAACAACAGCCGGCTTCAGCCTGTGAGCGTCCCCTACGGCGGGGCGCGACCGAAACAGCCGGTCAGCCTCAAACTTCAGATCCCACAGCCGCTGCCGAGCCAAGTCCAGAACCAGCTGGGCCAGTCCGCGGGCAGCAAGAACAAGAACCTGGAGAACCAGTGTCGAAGGGGCACGCCGACCGAGCCGTCGCCCGGCGGGACTGTTCAGATCTCTGTCGACGTGAATGGGGACGGCGGCGTCCACTCCTCACCTCTCGTGTCCTCGGAGAGTCCGGACAACGACCTCCAGGCCGGCCAGCAGGGGGCGCTCAGCGGGAAGGGCGCCGGCTCGCTGGGCGAGGTCGCTCCCGTGTGGGTGCCTGACTCCCAGGCGCCCGTCTGCATGAAATGTGACGTCAAGTTCACCTTCACCAAGAGGAGGCACCACTGCAGGGCCTGCGGCAAGGTTGGTGCTGCGCTGCTTAAATTAAACGTTTCTAAACTCACAACATGCATCGTGAACACAAAAAACCACTTTAAATAGTGACTTTGATAGGTGAGTTCTGTGTAGGCCTGTGTCTGCAGACAGTGCATGTAGCTTTATGGCCACGTGCAGGATGTCTGCGCGGCGCTGTCAATGGAAGATGCGGTCGCTGACACGGCACTGGAAACCCATCGGAGTGATCCTTAATTTCCCACGGTGGTAAACAAACACTCTCACACTGCCACTTGAGCTGGGAGGAGCTGGCACTGCAGCAAGACCAACACCTGCACCGGGGCTGCGAACAATCCACACAGCGTGAGCCTCAGCCAGAAACAGAGATCCAAGCAGCAGATTATGGGCTGTGAAAATTAAAAGCAGCCTCAAACACTCCATTTCAAATCGTTTACCAAATTCATGCTGCTAGATAATGATTCCTGGAGGTTCTAATACAGTAAAGCTGAAATAAAACAGGGATGTGATGCAGTTTAGACGTAAAAGCTCGTTTCTGGTTTGAACGACGTCTCTGTTTTTATATTTTTAAGGTGTTCTGTGCGACGTGTTGCAGTTTGAAGTGTAAGCTGGTGTACATGGACAAGAAGGAGGCTCGTGTTTGTGTCACCTGTCATTCCGCCCTGACGAGTGGTGAGCACGCCTACAACTCAATTCAACATGGCCGCCGTGGCTAACCGGAAACACACTCAGCTGCTTTTACATGTGTCGAGCTAGAATTTGGTGTGACAGAGCATTATTTCCAACACATAGTGTGAGTTTAATTTAAGTAAAACCTGTCAGTTTTACCGGTTTTGACCTAAACGTTGTTGGTAATAGCTGAGCATCAACACATCCTCTGAGGAGAACTCGCTGGTTAATGCTGATCTCCACTCATGACATCACTCGTATCATTAACATACTTTATGATCGGACACGGACTATACTGAGATTCAGTGGTAATGCAACAGAAATAAAACATTTCTAGTGCAAATTTTAACACAAAAATACTCCTTCCATGCTGGGATGATGTTTGAATCCTGAGTCACTGATAGAAGAAATGTAGCACAATGTTTTGTGTTCCTCCCGGTGGAGTTTGATGCTGTTTTCATGAATTTTTTAAGCTTAAACAGAGTTAAACCTCACGCTTTGATTGAAACTAATAGAGCAGCTACCAGAGTTTACGCTCACCGGTGTTGAGCGGACGCAGTCAGGTGACCACTGTTCAGTCTGTTAAGTTGTATAAATAAATAATTTTGTCTGCATAACATGAACAGAATGAAATTCCAACACTATTTAACAGCTGTTTGAGTTGTAAATATTTATTGATGATTTGTTTTGTTGCCGTCAGCTCAATCGTGGGAAACACCAACTGCTGCGAGCAATCAGAGTCCTAACCCCAACAACCCGGCAGAGTACTGCTCCACCATCCCCCCTCTGCAGCAGGCTCAGGCCTCTGGGGTGCTCAGCTCGCCCCCGCCCACCGTCATGGTTCCCGTGGGGGTCCTAAAGCAGGCCGGCAATGAGGGTACGACCTTTAACGAGAAAAGAAAAAAAACGCTTAAATTCTGTCTCGGATACGAGCGTTGATTTTATTTATTTCTTTATTTGTTTGTTGTCATTTAGGCTCCATCTCACGAGACCAGAGGAGGGTGTGGTTCGCCGACGGGGTCCTACCCAACAGGGATGCAGCAGAGTCCTCCAAACCCTCCGCTTCCAGCTCGGCCCCCTCCCAGTCCCGAGCCGTCTCCACCTTTTCAAATAAATCCTCCACGTCTGAGTCTTCAGAGGTGAGCTCAACACATTCAGCTGTAACAATCACGGTCAGGTCAGTGTGTCCCGTCAGCCTCTCTGTGCTTCACTGCCTGACTTATGGACTCTRATATAGTAAACAACCTCAAAAGAAGCATTCCTTGTGGATTAAAGGGAATTAGAAACGTCTTACAGTAAAAAGCTTAAAGCTGAAATGTTCTGTACTCTGCTGGTTTACTAACAAGCCAAGAAAAACGTACCCTGAAGCTGCTTTTTTTTTTTTTTTACAGTAAATAACAGCGAGTTGAATTTAATGGTTTCTATTTGCAGTGAGTAGTGACTGAATGCCTGCTGTCAGAGTGATTCATCGTCTGGTTTATTGTCAGAGTAATTCTTTCAAATGATTTAGTCTCAGATGGCCTGGTGGTGCTCTGCAGAGAGAATCTGAGCAAACTAATATTTAAAATGACTCCATCAGCTCCACATAGTCACGGTGTTTTCATGTCTTCTGCTGTAGAGGAACATCAAACCTGACATCATAACTCCAGTGACATCAKTTAGGTCATCTACTTATTAACTGGTCAAACAGCTTAGGTATTAAACAAGCAGAATCACGACTACAAAATACTTTTAATGTTACACTACAGAAGGTGAAAATAAAATAACTATGTTTTATATTCAGTGTTTCCAATTTAATAAATGCCTAACTGTTTATATCAGAACCTTTTGATTATGAGAAAAGCTTTAAGAGGAGATGAGTGTTCAGTCAGACAAGTTTGGATTTTTAAAGTACCTGTGACATACCTGTCCTTCAAATAAAAAAAAGTCAAAGAAAGCATCTTTATACTTAAGAAAATCGGCACAGTACACATGATTTTATCCATTTTGTCACATAACTGGCCTATTTTCTTTTGTATTTGGCTCAGCCGAAGTGAAACAGGAAGTGACATCAAAGGGAAACTCTTTAATAAAATAAACTCTCTGGTCTCTGTTTATTAAAACAAAATTATTTTAACTTTAACTCTTCTTTGTCTCTCTTTGATAGCGACTAAAAATAATCTAAAGAAACATCAGATTCTTCTCCACAGTCTGTTTTGTTAGCTTTTGTAACAATGCTCTGTTTACATGATGAGATTCCCCTTTGACATCACTTCCTGTTTCTTCACATGTGCAAATATCTCAACTGTTCATCTCAGTGACGTGAAATTTGTTTTGCAATATTTTATCAATGTTTTCTTTCCAAAAATGCATTCATGTTTGTTACAAAGTTTGATGTCACAGGCACTTTAAAGCGGAAAGCTAAAAGATGCTAATAAAAAATGTACAAAATTGAGTTTGTTGTGAGCCACTGCTTCTTACCTGCGTTCATTTATTTCACCTGTTAGCAGTGGTGGCTAATATKGATATTCTCATGAATGTGTATATTTGTAGGAAGGAGAGCCACAGGTTCTAAATAAAAGAAATGTCGTTTTAAAGTTGCTGTGTAACGTTCAGGTTCTAACTCAGTAAATACTCTGTATTGGCAAGTACCCAAACTGAAGTACTTACACTCTGACGAAAAACTGGTATCAGGGCACCGCTACCTGTTAGTATTGATCAGTACAGCTTTAAGTAAGTTTTGAACAAATATCCTGGCGTGCACTTTACTAATCCTGATTTTTTTTTAATTATGTACAACTAGTTTAAAAGCAGAGTGTGTGTTTATCCGATGGAATAAAGAGCTGCTGGTTTGTTTTAATTACAGTTATTAAACCTGTTGTGTTCACCGCYGCCGCCTCGAGCAGGAAGTCTTAATCCTGCTGTTATTCCAGCTCACTGTTTTCACGCACAACCAGTGTTGTATAAAGAACCACAAAGTGATACTAGAGTAAAAGTACAAGTATCTTACCAAAAAATTACTTTGGTAAAAGTTAAAGTCTCCTTTAGGAATGTTACTTGAGTAAAATTCTTAAAGTATCTGATATTTTTTGTACTTAAATATTAAAAGTAAAAGTATTGATTTAAAATGAGCAGCTAGATTTCCTGTAATGACATTTATTAGGTGACCTCCCCAAAAAAATGCAGAAATGACGATATAGTGTTAAAATAATTAATATATGTTACATTTACGATGCACTGTTTAGCTGTTTTAGTTTATATACATATATAAAGGCTGCACAAAACTTTTCCCCAAAATGAAAATCTATCTGATGGCTGTGGCCAAATACAATTATATAATTAATGAAATACAAATACTTCTTAAGTACTGGTCTTTTTTTTAATGATTATATCCTGCTGGAGTGTGACATGATTTATTTGTGTACAAACTATCAGAATTTTATATATTTATACTTCTCATTCAACCACAATTAAATTCACTCTATCTAGGAGGCACAATTTATATGGATAGTATTTATTTTTTACAATAAGCTGGAATGAAAACAAGCAAAAATGAAATAAAAGTAACGACTTTCTACTTGCCTTTTTTTTTTAAAAATGTAAAAAGTAGAAAGTACAGATGATTGTGAAAATGTAAGAAGTGGAAGTAAAAAGTAGGTTGAAAAATAATTACTCAAGTAAAGGACAGATAMCCAAAAATTCTACTTAAGTACAGTAACAATGTATTTGTACTTAGTTACTTTACAACTCTGCACACAACACSCCTAACTGGCCACCCACACCTCTGCTCTGTCCACCCCCGCAGGCAGCCCACAGCCCCGCCGCCCCGGTGGGCAGCCCCGTGGGCAGCGCCGTCAGCCTGATCCCGGAGAACGGGCTCCCTCCCATCCTCATCTCCACCGGCGTCAAAGGAGGTACGGGAGGCCACATGACAGGTGCTCGCCCTCATCCTCATCGTTTCTGCCGCTTCCTCATTGCTGCCGTTTGTGTTCGTTTAGCGTGAGCTTCACTGGCTTTGTGTCACCCACCGCTCGTGTTTTTGACCACTCATTGCCAACAGAGGGGAGACGTTTGGCACGTGGGAATGTTTTGGTGATGTCTGAATTATTACTGGGGGGGGGGGGGGGGGGTGTGCTTATTCTCTTCACTCGGTTCACTTTTAATCTTTTACCATCTTCAACTTCTCTCCTGTGTTTATGTCTGGAATCTGTTTTTCCTTTCTAACTGTTCATCCCTCCGCTCTGCAGATTACGCCGTGGAGGAGCGGCCGTCGGAGATCGTCCTCATGCAGCAACTGGAGGAGGGCGGCCCGGACCCCCTGGTCTTTGTGCTCAACGCTAACCTGCTGGCCATGGTGAAACTGGTCAACTGTGAGTCCTCATTTAAACTTCTGAGTCTGTAGAGGAGCTTACTAAGGTTTTCCATCAGGGGAAATATAAATGCTGTGTTTGTCTTTATGTAAAAAGTTTTTATTTTACATGATATTGCMMCTTTAAGCTGTAGGAACCCTGAACAAACGACTGGGCCCTGACGGGTTTTTGCTCCCTCAGACGTCAACAGGAAGTGCTGGTACGTGACGACCAAAGGGATGCACGCTGTGGGCCAGGCGGAGGTCGTCGTCCTGCTTCAGTGTCTGCCTGACGAGAAGACAGTCCCGAAGGACATCTTCACCCACTTCGTGCAGCTCTACCAGGAGGCCCTCGGCGGTGAGAACTCTGCCGTGACATCATCCTTTTTTTTTACTTCCATATGCTGCAGAACAAAAACAGCAAATATCATCTGACTTTGATGGCTCTCTGCCCTCAGGCTACTTCCTGTTTCATATTCTCACCGCAGCAGTGTCAGCCTGGTGGAAGCCAGTCATATTGTGTGTGTTGATCCTGATTAAGTTGCCGTCAGTCAGGCCTGCTGAGTTTAGCACGTGCCAGCTTTTACCTGTCATCYGGGTTGTTGTGTTGTTTGTTTATGAAGCCATTGATCTGTACGGATAATAAAACATCTGGATCCTTTGTAGGAATGTGAGACYGTAGAACTGACGGGATGTTTCCTCTGCTCTCCTCACCTCCACCAGGCAACGTGCTGAGCCACCTGAGTCACTCCTTCTTCACGCAGAGCTTCCTGGGCAGCAAGGAGCACGGCGGCTTCCTCTACATCAGCCCCTCCTTCCAGTCGCTGCAGGACCTGCTGCTGCCCAACCCCCCCTACCTCTTCGGCATCCTCATCCAGAAGTGGGAGACGCCCTGGGCCAAAGTCTTCCCCATCCGCCTCATGCTGCGGCTGGGAGCAGAGTACCGCTGTGAGTTCAGACCCAGGCAGAGCGCCGTGCTCCTGTCATGATAACTGAAACTATTTAGATGAGATAAAATAGGAGTTTTGACTAAATCAGTTTTTAAAGGACAGTAATTTAGAGCTTGTTAAAAAAAAAAACTGAAGTGGGTGAGTGAGTTACTGCTGACAAATAGGCAGTGTTGGTCTTTTTCATACCAGCATATTATCTTTAGATAATAGGGTATTTACCTGGGCGGGGCGTGGGGGGTGTATGGTCTGTGGTGTTGAGTTACTTTCTCTCCATTGCTGCCAAACTTCTTTCAATTTAACGTCTTTTTATTTCCTTCTTCCTGTAGATTTTTAGCTGCTTGTCTAATAATTTCAGGTGTCGGTCAGAAAGGAGTTTGGGGGTTTCATGTTAGTTCGGTGGGCTGGGGGTGAGACCAGGGGGTGGACTGACGTGATTTTTCCATGAACCTGCCTGTCTGCAACTGCCTCCTGCTGCACCGCTTCAAATATAAAGAACATAAAATAAAATAAAAACTAAAAGCACAGTAAATTATTTATCATAACTCTGGTTTGGTTTTATTTTGTTTTATCAACACAATTTAAAAACTTTGAAATCTGGACTATTGACAGAAGTTGTTTCTTTTTACTCCTGGTAAAATCCAAACTTTCAGAATAAATTTAAGTTAAGTCAGCCCGCCTTGTTTTATTTCCTCCGTTATCAGAGCAGCTCTTCTCCACAGAATCCTCTTTTTTTTCTAACAGCCGGACCTGCCGGCTTTCTTTAAGCCCTTTTTTCCCTTCATCCAGCCGCTGCAGGTAGAATACATTACCCAGGACACGATCAGCCGAAGCTCCTCGACACAAAATGTTCACATCAACATGAAATTAATCCATAAACTCTTTAAGGTCTCACCAGCAGAGAGAGGCTGAACTGTCAAACTGCAGCTTGATGCCATGATCTGTTTTTTTTTTTCAGCTGCTGACTGACATCAAGCTAAAAATAATCATTTAAGAAGCTTTAGTAGCTGAAGGAAAAATAAGCCATATTTTTACTTGTAAATTAGGAGCTTTTCTACTGACTTCAACTGTGTTTTAGTTGTATTCATTTAGTGTTATTTTTGTATAAAGAGGACACAAACATTAATGTCGTACATTTTATTTTATTTCTTGCAGTAAAGCCACAAAAAACAATCATGCTTTAGTACTCGTGTCAAATTTAAGGCTCACAAGCCAAATCTGGCCCTTGTTAACATTTTTCCGGCCGCAAAGATAATTTAAAATAACTCCATGGTATCTTTTATTGTCGCTGTATTTAAAGCATTCGTCTCACGACAGCCAGCTTTCAAATCAAGAAGTTTAAGTTTGAATTTTGTAGGAATTTTTGTTTTTGGTGTGAAAAAGAGCAACAGAAAATCAAGCTTAATTATCTTTTTCTGTATTTTCTCACTTAAAAATGTAATAATTTGGATTTTTAGTGGTTTGATTTGATTTCCTGGATTGTGATGAAAGGTAACAGTTGTTGAAAGTGCGAGGCTTTTTTTCTTAATCCATCATTCTCTAAATGCTACATGAAACATTTAGAGAAGGTATTTTTATTACTATAGTAATAATTTATTATAACTTGTTTTTTTTGTAAATATTGACAGAAATTTACCYTCAGCTTGGACCAAGTTTTGAATGTTGGCCCTCTTGTGTAACTACGTTCGACACTCATAATCTAGTGTGATATATTTGTGCATTTCTTGTGTGTTTTTATTTATTTAAGCGTTAAAGTTATTTATTTAACTTTTATTTATTTGCTTTCACAGTTTATCCGTGTCCGCTGTTCAGCGTTCGCTTCAGAAAACCTCTCTTCGGAGAAACCGGTCACACAATCATGAATCTGCTTGCGGTAAAAGCTTTTCTGTATTTATTTAACTCAAAGTTGAAGAGTTTTAGTGRGTAAAAAACACTGCAGTCTGTATTTGAATAAAACCACAGAACAAAGAAGTAACTTTTTATGAGATTAGCTTCAACTGAAAAAAACGTATTTATTATTTWAAGGACTTCCGTAACTACCAGTACACTCTGCCGGTGGTGAAAGGTCTGGTTGTGGACATGGAGGTGAGGAAGACGAGCATCAAGATCCCCAGCAATCGCTACAACGAGGTAAACGTCTTTACATTTATGRCCTGCAACTGCATTTTGTCAAAATATAATGAATAAAAACCTCAGCTATGGGTTGCTAAATGAAATATCTGAAATATAATCTTTATTTTTGAAGATGTTTTTTGAGCAGTAGCTACAACAGAATAGATTTTAAGCAGAAAAGCCTTAAATTTTCATAATTTTCCCTGTGAGCTAGCAAAGCATAGCATCAAAAATGACTCGTTAGAAAAACCTAAAAATAGGATTGAGACCAAATATCAATGTATTATTGTGATTTTAAACGACAAATCTTTGGAACCGCTGATAAATAACCACCTGTTGCACCCGTTCATCGTTAATAAAATGAGACGAGACTCGAGCACTAAATGTCCTCTGTCATGACGCACAGACGTGTTACTGTGGTTACTAACCAACATGGCATCTTTTTGGTTTTTTCATTGACAATTTTAAATCCGTTCAGGAAATAAATCTTCAGACTCTTAATATGTCCTGATGATTTAAAAAAAAAAATCCTGGTGTTCCCTGAGGCGGTTCAACCTCCTGTCAGACCTGAGCATCAGCTCCCGTCTTAAATTGTCCTCTTTTATATAAGAAACTCCAGCGTCTCTGCAGCCGAACTTCAGCCGAGATCCGCCCACTTCTGGTTTTAGCCTCCGAGGTGTGAAGGAGCGCCATGGCGGAGTTTGGCTGCCGACGCACCGACAGATGGAGCAACGCGAGGAGGGAACCGTTGCTCAGCAGCTTGTAGGCGAGTGTTTAACGCAGCGAGCGGTTAAAGCGCTCCAGATTTTCAGTTTGATTTCTGACGGGCCACTTCAAAGAGGCACAAAGGCAGGATTAATGTGAGGAATCCTTCAGCTGCTAAAAGAGTCTTCCTCCACAGTCTGCTCCTCAAACACCAGCCCCCCGTTCAATTAGGCTTAACCAGACTCAGAGGGCTTTAATCAGTCCTGCTGTGTGTTTTTTGTCCTTGCAGCTGATGAAGGCCATGAACAAGTCCAACGAGCAYGTGCTGGCCATGGGGGCGTGCTTCAACGACAAGGCCGACTCCCACTTGGTGTGCGTCCAGAACGACGACGGGAACTATCAGACGCAGGCCATCAGCATCCACCACCAGCCACGGAGAGGTGCCTCACCTGGACTCTGACCTGGAAACAAACGCTCTGTGGTTGTTTACTGAATCTGAACGGTTTGTGTTCCTCCTCTGTGTTTCTACAGTCACTGGAGCCTGCTTCTTTGTCTTCAGTGGTGCTCTGAAAGCCTCGTCTGGCTTCTTGGCCAAGACCAGCATTGTAGAAGGTGAGATCTGTTCTGCTTCCCCTTCACCTGATGAAGAGCTGGTCCAGTGCTCCAGGACTGGACCGTCCATCGAACTCGTTCTCATTGAGCCTTCTCCCTCCGTTTAGACGGCGTGATGGTCCAGATCACAGCCGAGACGATGGACTCTCTACGGCAGGCCCTGAGGGACATGAAGGACTTCACCATCACCTGCGGTAAAGCCGACCAGGAGGAGAACCAGGAGCTTGTTCAGGTTCTGTGGACAGAAGACGACCAGAACTTCAACAAAGGGTGAGACGAGATGTGGGAGGAAACGTGCCTCGTAGTTTTACTGTAAACTTTACGCCAGATTTGTTTAAAAAAATGTCTTTGTTTCAGCGTCATCAGTCCGATTGATGGGAAATCCATGGAGTCCATCACCAGCGTGAAGATCTTCCACGGCTCAGAGTTCAAAGCAAACGGCAAAGTCATCCGCTGGACTGAGGTAACAGACACACGGTTCAGTTTATGGTGGATTATTAGTAAAATCAGGCCGACAGGTCCCACAGGACCGAACGTTGAGCCGTTTTAACCTTCATCTCAGGAGGCTGCAGGTCTGTTATCAGGAAGTCGCTCCTCATCAGGACTCKGTGCTGCAGACGAAGAGAGTTCAGCTGTTTGTGTCACTAACATTCAGAGCTAACACGTTTGTCCTTTTTTAAAATCAGTTCATTTAACATCTTGTTCTGGTTTCTTCAGGTGTTTTTCCTCCAAAGTGAGGACCAGCCCAACGGGCTGAGCGACCCGGCCGACCACAGCCGGCAGGCGGAGAACATGGCGCGAGCGTTCTGCGTGGCTCTGTGTCCTCACCTGAAGCTGCTGAAGGAGGACGGCATGGCCAAGCTGGGCCTGAGGGTCACCCTGGACTCGGACCAGGTAGGGGGTGTTGGGATGTAAAACTGAATGTTTTTAGATCTGGACCGACCCCATATGTTTTTTTTGTTTTTTGTTTTTTTTTTTTGAACAGGTGGGTTACCTGGCAGGAAGTAATGGCCAGCCCCTCCTGCCTCAGTACCTGAGTGACCTGGACAGCGCTCTGATCCCGGTCATCCACAGCGGGGCGTGCCAGCTGAGCGAGGGTCCGGTGGTCATGGAGCTGGTCTTCTACATCCTAGAGATCATCTCTTAGAAGGCCGATCCGACCCGCAGACGAGTTTTCTTTTAACGTTCCGACGTCATCCCACAGCCCGGGCCTCCTCTAACCATCTGCACCTCAGAAGAACCAGAAAACTGTGCCGTTCCAGGCRGGGTAGCATTCCTTCGCTCAAAGCTATGCATCCACTGGTCCGTACGGATCCAGAGGTGTTCTGGTGTCCCAGCAGAGACCCCCCCGTCCCCTGCGCCTGTCCTGACCGCCACACTTCAAACCAACGAGGAGAAAAATCTAAAACTACAGGTTGTGTCCGGTCCTGGTCCTCGAGCACCTCCATCCTGCAGCGTTTGTTTGTTTCTCTGCTCAAGCTCACCTGATTCATCACCTGTTCTTAAAACCTGCTGTGCTGGAGCAGAGAAACCTTTTAAAGGGGACGTGTCGTCCATTTTTAGTTGTTAAATGCATCTTATTGTGGGAGTCTAGGAGTGCAGAAAAGCTGAATTTAGTCTCTCCTGGTAGAGCAAAGATATATTTATTTTCTGTTTGGGTCATAGTTTTCAACCCACTCTGATCTCTAAACAGTATTTGATAAACCAGGTCATGGACGTAAGTTAACCAGTTTCTTGAGTCCGTGGTCCTTCAGGTCCATCGTCTTCATTCTCCTCTCACTCTGCGTCCAACATGAGGCTGGATGGACAAGTCTTCCCTAGTTGACATCTTCTAATCAATTTGTAAATAAAGTTTCTGTGCCGATAGATGATCGTATCTCTATCAAACTACTAAAGTAACCGAACAGGGTGGAGGGGGGCGGGGTTTAAAGTGCCTCATTTGCATTTAAAGAGACAGCACCAAAACGAGTTGCTTGTGGAGCTGCAATAACCAGGAGTTCCGACCAAAGCTTTGCAGTTCTACTTTATATAGACCCCAACTGAAGGATTTCAAAACACGTCTCCTTTAAAAGCTGAAGGATAGTGGTCCTCGAGGACCAGGATTGGTTAAATTTATTTTAAATCTGTCTCAAAGATGACAGCATCTTGATCGTGAACCAAAACTGGTGGTTTGAGGTCTTTTGCTGGCTAAAATAAAAACTGTGTAGCAACCAACGAGAGGTGAAAGTACGCAGAAACATTCCACCTTTTATTGGTTTTTAAAATACTTCATTAGTCATCCTAAATCTAAAGTTTGGGACTTGAAGTGTGTTTGTTTTGGRCAGAGCCGCTCCTCTGACTCACTCAGTCACTGTGTCACCCTGAAGCAGAGAACTCCGGGTCAAACCTGCCTCTGTGTAGCACGGCTGCTGTTCACCGCCCAGRAGAAACCTGTAGATCATTGGAGGTGGAGGAAGGTGCCTGTGTGTGCTGATTTGGTTTTTTTTGTTTGTGTTTGTTTGCACCTCGGTGCTCAGTGCCTGCAGCGAAGAATCATCAAGAAACACGAACCCGTTCAYTCCTGAAGCTTTACCCATCAGTCACCAAATGCTTGTTGTCCCGGCTGCAGACTTGTAGATATTTTTATAAGCAGTGTGACTTCTCCTCAGACGTATCATGTAGCTTCCAGAGATCTCAGTATTTCAGAAAAGACTCAGACGTCTGTAAAAATGAGACTAAAACCAGATCTGATGCTTTATAATGAACATAAAGCAGGAGAGAAATCAGATTGAATCTTTTTCCAGCAGCATCAGCTTGTTTTGGTTTTTTCAGTCATACAAAGATGTAAAGAAATATAAATATATATATATAAAAGATCTATAAAGACTGTAATTACAGAAGCAGTGCACTGGATTTAAGCCATTTTCAAGAGTTAAGTGGAGCGACGGGGCGCCGCCGTGTCCTGGATGTAAAAAGTGCCGAGTCTGCAAAGATCCGGGCTTCCTGCAGAAACCAGATACCAACTGACCCGAAGCTGAATGTATCTCATSTCCTGTTTATTTTTTATTCTCTGCATCCTTCCCAAAGCCCCTGGAAAAAAAAGAAAAAAACCAAGACACTGCAGCTGCAGGAGCCTCGGCTCACGAACAGATCCGATCCGGACCGAGCGCTCGGACCTGCAGGTTCAATCTACGAATGTATTCTCGTTTCCTGTTGTCGCCAAAAACAAACTGTACAGAAACTGTTCTGCTCACGCGGTGAATCGGATAAAAGTTTGAGGTTTTTTTAGTTTTGAGAAAGAAAAAAAAAGTTAGACAATCAGCTGAGAATCTGCAGAAGAGCCAACACTTTGGATTTAAATTAAAACTCTTACTTCCTGGTTTCGTGCATTTTAGGAGCTCCTGTAATGTTAGGGATCAAAAATAACCATTTTTTAGGTCATTTCCTGTCGACGAATCGCCGCGGTTTCAAAAATGAGCAGAGTGGKTTTTTTTTGTTGTTTTGGCATTACCAGATGTGTGCAATATGTCCTGAATCAAAAAAGGTGCAATTTGTTTAAAAGAAAAGTAGCATTTTGTTTTTGTATTCAGTTGTAAAAAAAACWGTTTTTTGTTTGAATCTTTCAGCACTGCATGCAAAAGAAATGGATCGACTCAAACTTTGCATTTTAACAGTTTGTTGATGACAAATGCACTCATTCAGTTCTTTTCCTGGACTGCTTTTTGTTTCCTTTACATGAAATAAAACAGTTATATTTGTTTTAAAAAGACAAAATCTTTTCTTTACATGAAAACGAGTCTTTATTCCCAACAAGACAAAAAAAATCCGTAAAATAAAACCTTAAAGTATTTGATAGAATTGAAGCATCAGAACAATTTAAAAACCCTCCGACTTCGATTCCACATCTTTTTTATTTTGTCAGAAAATATAAACAGGTTTTTTGTAAACATGTAATCTGTAACATCTGCAGTTTAAATGTTTTTTTTTTTTTTGCTAACTTGGGTCTGAAGCTTAAAGAAATGTTGGGACCAAACTGAGGTATAAACTTGTGGCTCAAAACATTCATGGCTTCTTATCTCTAAATTAAAGGGTCAGTTCTCTCAAATTAAACTTTGTCTCTGAAGCTGTTCAGTCCTTCAGAGCATCTGCTTTTGTCTCGAGCTCTAATGGGAAGAAAACATTTTTTTATTTTATCTAAACATGAACCATTAACTTTTTCAAGTGACGCCTTTCATACGAAGCGATTTCACAGGTTTTAGGAAAACCTGCAGATTTGACCTGTTTTATGAAGTATAGCTTTGTTTTTAGTGAACTGGCCCTTTAAATTAATCCCAATAAAAGTCTTGAAATGTGATCCTGTTTTTTCTCACTGAGCTGCGACTTTGTTAGTCTCACTGAACTGAGTTTTTGTGACCAGAATGTCATGTTCTCAGGTTTAATCGGACAACTTTTATTTTTAAATGTTCAGTCGTGGCGTAACCTTAACCCTAATTATCGGGGGGAAAAAATAATAACAGGTTTAAATCTTGTGTTCATTTTAAAGGTTTGCTGATAGAATCACAAACATGGCAGCTGCCGAGGTGGACAATAAAATAATGTGCGAGCCGCGCTGCGCGCCTTAGGAAAAAAAAACTCGCATTTTATGTCGCAGCTCAGTGAGACTCCGCCTTCTCCGACGTTGACCCATTTCCAGCCCTCATTCTGAAAATAAATCGCAGCTTTTAGGCACAAACTTGAACTAAAATAAATAAAATCCGTTACAGATAAGAGCCTCTGACGTTTCTTCTGTTCTCTGCAGTTTTGTGCTGTTCGGTGTAAACCTGAAGCCCCGCCCCCCTGACGTGGCCGTGCAGCTTCAAATGAAAAGTGCCGAAAAACAAAACGTGGGACATTTCTTGGCTTTAGCTCCCAACAACCTAAGGTGCGTCTGGTATAAATATAAATTCTCTCAGYGTCCTAACGAGTTTGGCAACTATTTTATCTCCGCAGAATTTTACAGCAACTTTGATTACTTTGGTATTAGTGCATAGTTGGACTTCTACAGACCAGAATAAACACACGTTCTTGGTTATGTTATTAAAGAAGCGCCGCTAACGCTCGGATCGCTGCTCCGTGGAGTTCCCTCCTTTAAATTAAAAATGATCTACCGTCCGGATCCCTCGGCGGCCGGTCCGGTTACCGAGCCGAAGCCTCCTCCTAGTGGACCGCCATGCAAAAAGGAGCTTTTGAATGTGCAAAAGGTTCAGGAACCAGATCCTCCTCCGAGTGTTTTTGATTGAGAGCTGTTCAGCTGCAGGACAGAGAGGGAAAAAGTGTCAAATGATTAGATTTACACTTTAAACCAGTGGTGCCCAAAGGTTTCAGCTTTTGATCCACAAAACAGCAGCAGAGCCCTGTGACCAACTGTTTTTAGTTGATAAATGTTGGTTTTAGGTCAAATAAACAAACTATTCTTTTTACCACTTTTACCCATTTTAAATAAACTAACCCTCACTTTAAATGTAATAATTCAGAAAATCTTTTCAGGACCCAAATTTGATGTTTCGGGGTCCCAACCCCAGCTTTGAGAACCACTGCTTTAAAAGGGATCCATGATTAGTTGTAACGTTAGACTTTATTTAATAAACACATATTTTAACTGTAAAATAAAGACTGTAAAAGTACTGTGGGC